GGGAATTTTGGTCACAGTGACAAAAAGCTGACAAATAATTCTCCAAAAAAGTTTGTTAAATGAATGAGTGGATAATAATTGAATAGAATGCAGTGAAATGGAAGAAATATTTACCCTTCTATCTTTGAGAGATGTTGTGAAGTCCAAAGCTGGTGACGCATGATAAAGTTGAATCAAACCTTTCAAACGGAAGTGCCATGGGCAAGTGCCCTAGGCTTTTGCATAGCTTTAGTATATTATGGAGGATTTGAATTAAACTAAAACTTTAAAAATTTATCATGAATTCAAGCCCAACCATATGCACTTTGTAAATACTGACCTTGTACAGACTAAGTGTAAAAACCCTGGAGTCAAGTCGCCTATCCTAGCATTCACTCGCCTTGGCATGGCTCTCACTGAGGTTAATAAGAACTGTGGATATCGCAGACTGCCAAAACATAAGGAGATATGACAGAAAACCAAAAGGGAAACTGCCGGCTGCCTTGGGCTCACTGAGATTTGAGTCTAACAAGGCAGACTTGTCGCTGGACTCTTTGGAGGTGAAATGAAGCGATGGGCTAATGCTGGGCACAGGAGGCGCCAGGTCCTGACAGGCCAAGGTGTGACCTGCGGAATCCTAACCACCCCAGACATGTTTCCAGGAGCAAGGGAGCTGGGCCATGGCCAAGGGCAGGCAAGGTTGTGAGGGTGGGGGGAGGAGGTGTATGCAGAGCCCTCAGAGAGTAGGAAAAGAAAGGGCAAGTGAGATTACTGGTCATCTGGTGTCTTAGATCACAGGCAAAGCAAACGCCAAGCACAACAGCAAACACAACCTTTGAGCACTGTGTCTCCAAAGAGTGTTTACTAAGTGCCTTCGGCCTTGATCTCCCAGACTCAGTTAAATATGCATTTGTTAATGTTGTGCTTCTCACTTTTTCTTCTTCCCATTTTTTGGTTATTGTTGTTATTTCTACTTTTAAAAAAATTCTTTTAATTCCTCACTTGTTTTGAGAGTATAACTCTGAGGAAAGTGAGAAATAAAAGGAGTGGGGACAGAGGAGAAAATTCCACAGAGCATTTTCAAAAGAGGCTTTCCAGTACAAAAATGTAGGCATTTATAGTTACACTATTAAATGTAGTGTATTATTATGTATAATATGGTAAATATGATGTATAGCTCATTCTTTAAATATATTATTAAATATGATACACACATATAATCATGCATATTATTCTCCATTTAAAAATACCAATATTTAGAAATGAACTGATAATTTATGTGATATATGCCATTTTTATAAGCTACCTTTTAAAAATGAAACATTGTATCAGCAAAAACATTTAAATTCATATTATTTGGTGACTAAGACATACTAGCATTTCAAAAACATTTAAATACATTATTTTATTTGATTACATTAAGGGGAACTGAAAAAATGGGAACATGAAAACGAGGTGAATGGTTTTATGTGCCTTTCTTGTGGCCATTCCTTCATACTTTATTCCAATTCTTCATTTATGTGACCTTTGCTCCAATTGAAATAGGGACTGTCATTTGTTCCTTCTGGAAATTTTAGGACCTAGCGTATGTTTGGACATAATAGCTTCAGCATTTAAAATGTATAATGAATTTCGGAAATGGATAAAATTAAGACCTCACACATATCACACTGTTAGAACTACATGGTTTTAGAACAGTAGTAATATTATTTTAACATACAACATGTCTCATTTTTACACCCTGAAACTAGTCATAGAGGCATAAAAATATATAAAAAGCAAGGTTTTTAAAAAAATAAATGAACTTTTTAGAGCAGTTTTATATTGGTGGCAAAATTGAATAAAAAAGTATGGAGACTTCTCATGTGCTCTCTTCCTCTCCACAATCAGGACTCTCCAACTGTCAGCATTTTGTAATGCATTTGTTACAACTGATGCACCTACATCAACACACACTAGCATCCGTGGCCCAAAGTTTTATATTAGGGTTTACTCTTGATGTTGAACACTACATGGATTTAGATGAATGTATAATGACATGTATTCATCTTTGAAGTATCACACAGAACATTTTCACTGTCTTAAAATTTCTCTGAGTAGCCAGGTGTAGTGGTACATACCTATAATCCCAGCAACTCGGGAGGCTGGGGCAGGAGGATCACAAATTTGAGGCCAGCTTCAGCAACTTAGTGAGTCTCTAAGTAACTTAAGGAGATCCTGTTTCAAAATAAAAAATTAAAAAAGGGTTGGGGATGTAGTTCAGTGGTAAACACCCCTGGGGTCAACACACACATACACACACACACACACACATACACACATATTTTTTTTCTTTGTGTTTAGACTATTCTTCTTTCTACCCCCAATCCCCTGGAAACCTCTAAGCCTTTTACTGTCTCCAAAATGTTGCCTTTTCCAAAAATCAGATATTTGTAATGATACAATATGTAACTTTTCGAGATTAGCTTCTTTCAGTGAGTAGTATGAATTTAATTTTTTTCATGTCTTTTTATGATTGATAGCATATCTTTTTTATTACTAAATAATATTTCATTGTTTGGATGCACAAAATTTATTTTTTTAACCTACTGTGGGATATTTTGATGGCTTGCAAGTGTGCCAGTTATTAATAGAGCCACTGAACACACTCATGTAGAGGCTTTTTTGTGAAGAAGTTTTAAATTCATTTGAATAAATACCAAAGAATGTGGTTGCTGGATCATTTGGTAAGAATGTATTTAGTTTTGAAAGAAAATGCCATGATATCTTCCAAAGTGTCTCTACCATTTTCTATTTCCACAAGCAAAGGGTGAGAGCCTCTGCTGCTCTCTATCCTTGTCAGTCTTTGGTGCTGTCAGTGTTTTGGGTTATGTACATTATAACAGATGTGTAGTGTTATTTTATTGTTGTTATAGTTTGTAATTCCCTAATGACATAAAATGTTGAAAAGATTTTCTTAGACTTAATGCCCTTAATGCCATCTGTATATTTTCTCTGGTGAAGTGTCTGTTCAGTTTTTGGTCCATTTTTGTTTTGTTTTGTTTTGTTTTGGACCAGAGATTGAACCAAGGATGCTTAACCACTGAGACACATCTGCAGTTCTTTTTATATTTTAGTTTGCAGTAAAATCTTGCTAAGTTGCCCAGCCTGTTCTTGAACTTGAAATTCTCCTGCCTCAGTGTCCTGAGTCACTGAAATTATAAACATGGGCCAATGCACCCAGCCTTTTGTCCATTTCTTTGGTGATTTGTTGGTTGTCTTATTGTTGAATTATAAGTAAGTGTTCCTTGTATATTTTAGACAATAACCCTACGTGCTAGTTGTACATTTCGCAGATATTTCGCCCAGTCTGTGTCTGGCCTTCTTATGCTCATGGCATCAATTTCACAGAGTAGAGGGTTTTAATTTTAATAAAATCTAGATTACCAATAATTTATTTTACAGGCTAAGCTTTTGACACTGTGTATAAAAAGCCACTGCCATACCCAAGGTCATCTAAGTTTTCTTCTATGTTGTCTTTTAGGAGCCTTATAGCTTTGCAATTTTACATTTAGTTTTATGATTTGTTTTGAGCTGAAATGGCTATATATAATTGTGTATGTATGTGTCCAGCTTTCCTTGTATCATTTATTTAAAAGACTATATTTACTACATAATATTGTACCTTTTCTTTTGTCAAAGATTATTGACTTTTTAAATGTCAGTCTATTACTTGGCTTGCTATTCTGTTCCATTTACATGCTTTTTATTTTTTTCTAATACCACCTTGTCTTGATTATTGAGCTTTGTAGTAAGAATTAGTTGGGTAGTGTTAGTCCTCCATTTTGTGTCTGTCCTTCAATATGGAGTTAGCTATTCTGGGTCATTTCCCTCCCCATATAAACTTTAGAATCAGTTTCTCAATGCCCATGATATAACTTGTTGGAATTTTGTTTCCATTTAATCTATAAGTCAATTTGAATAGAATCTTATCTTGACAATATTTCCTATCAATGATTTTCTAATCTCTCTCCATTTGTTTAGTTCTCTGATATCATTCAAAAAGTTTCACAGTTTTTACTCATACAGATCTTGTGCATATTTTTCTAGATTTATGCATAAGTATTTTGCTTTTTCAGGAGGTGATAATTTAAATATTAGCAAATTTTATTCTCAAATTGTGTTTGTGTGTAGTTGATGGATAAGAAGGCAATTGACTATCATTGTCTTTTAGTTCTAGGAGTGTTTTGTTTGTTTCTTTTTTTTGTTTCTTTAGTTGATTCTTAGAATCTCTTTGGTTTAAGGTAATGCTGAATTCATAGAACGAGTTAGAAAGTATTTCTTCTGCTTTTACCTTTTAGAAAAGACGTAGAAAATTGGCATAATTTCTTCCTCAAATGTTTGATAGAGATCCCTAGAAAGCTCATCTGGATCTCATGCTTTCTGTTTTGGAAGGTTTTTAATTATTGATTCAATTTCTTTTATAGGTGTAGATCTATTCATATTTTTTCTCATGTAAACTTTGGTAGATTGTGTTTTTTAAGAAGTAAGCCTATTTCATCTAGTTTTTCATATTTATGGCTATAAATTTGTTCATAATACTCTCTTATTTTCCTTTTAATGCTTTCTTTCTTTTCTTTTCTTTTTTTTTTTTTTTTTTTTTTTTTTTTTTTTTGGCACTGAGGATTGAATCCAGGGATGCTCAACCACTGAGCAATATCCCCAGACCTTTTTTAAATTTTATTTAGAGACAAGGTCTCATTGAATTGCTTAGTGCCTCCCTAAGTTGCTGAGGCTGGCTTTGAACTCGAGATCCTCCTCTTCTTTCACTTTTCATGTTAATAATTTGTGACTTTGCTCTTTTTATTTAGTCTGGTTAAAAGCCTACCAGATTTATTTGTCCTTTCCAAGAGCTGGTTTTTGGTTTTGTTGATTTTCTCTTCTGATTTTTGATCTGATTCATATTATTTCTTTTATTGTACTTACTTTGGACTTAATCTACTTTTTCTTTAGATTTTGTTGATTTTCTCTATTGATTTTTAATCTGATTCTTATTTTTTCTTTTATTGTACTTACTTTGGATATAATTTACTCTTCCTTTTGTAGTTTTCTAAGGTGGAAGCTTACATTATTTGTTTTAGGTCTTTTTAATATATTAATTTATTACTGTAAATCTTCCACTGAGCACTGCATTCAGTGCATCCCACAAATTCTAAATAATTGCATTTTAACTTTCATTCATTTAGTTCCAGATACTTAACATTATTTTGAGATGGCTGCTTGGACCCATGTGTTCTTTAACAATGTATTACTTAATCTCTTAAGTATTTAAGAATTTTTTTGCAATCTTTCTATTATTGATTTCTAATTTAAGAACATTATGGTCTGAGTTTATATATTATATTATTTCTATTCTTTCAAATTAATTCAGGTGTGTTTTTTGGCCTAGAATTTACTCTATCTTGGTGAATAATAGTTTCCATGTCAGCTTGAGAAGAATTTGCAATTTTCCATTGCTGGATGAAGTAGTTTCTAGATGTCAATTATGCTCAGTTTATTAGTAGTGTTGTTCAGTTTCATTATGCCATACTTAATCTGTGACTGCTGAATCTGTCCATTTCTGAGATGGAGGGACATTTCAGGCTACAATTTTGTAAGTAGATCCATCTATTTCTCACTGAAATTCTGTCAGATTTTGCTTCATAGGTTCTGATGCTCTATTTTGGGGTACATATATATTAACATTTGTTATAAGTTCTTGCAGTATTGAACTCCTCTTTTTTTCATTATATAGTGTCTCTCTTTATCTCTGATAAATTTCCTTGCTCTGATGTCTGATCTGCCTGCAATTAATATTGCCATAATTTTTATTACTGTTAATATATCTTTCTCCTTTATTATTTACCTTAATCTATTATTTACTTTTAATCTACATGTATTTCTAAATTTAAAGTGGGTCTCCTGTAAATTATTTGTTTTTTATTGTATTCAAAGTTGTGTCACTAACACAACTACCTAGGAGTGTTAGAAGATTTTCATCACTCCCAAAAGAAACCCCACATGCATTAACCCTCTCCATTCCTTTCCCTTAAGACCCTAGAGAATACACATCTATTTTCTGTCTGTATAGATTGGCCTATGCTGGACATTTCATATAAATAGAACCATATACATGTGACTGTTTATTTCTGACTTCTTTCATAGAGTATTTCAAGATTCATTCTTTATGAAGTGTTTGTATACATATATGTGTGTATGTATATACATATATATACATATATACACATATATACACACATATACACATATACATATGTGTATACACACACACACACTTCTTTCATTGCTAAATAGTATTCCATTATGTGGATATATCACTTTTGTTTATCTATACTTCAGATGATGGCGTTTTGAATCAATACTATCTGATAAGTATTCAAATCCAGGTTTTTCTCTTTGCATTCTATTGTAAACATGAATAAGTTACAAGGAAAAAAACCTTTAATTCAGTTTTCTCAGCCCCAGTTCACTGGAATTCCTATATTATATATTACATACGCAAATTTTATATAAATTACATTGAATATCACATATCTAACATACTGGATAATGTATATACACTATAGATTTGACAGGGCTGTTATAAAAATTAAGTAAAACAATGTGTGTGAAATTCAGTGATGGCCTGTGTGGTAAGTATTCATTCAGTCAAAGCCGGGAAGGAAATCATGGACCACACTAATTATTATTACAGAGAGGATATAGTATGGGTGATGACTAAGGAAGTAAAAGAATGAACATTAAGGGAACAGAAATCAACTACAGGAAACAGCTTTGCCCCACAGGAAGAAACTATGCCCACAGGGCTATGAGAAAATAGCAAGGTGTTGGTGTGGATCATCAGAGCCAGAAGCTGGGAGAGGGACCACAGAGGTGAGCTCCAGACTGATGAAGGGCAATTCTGCTTGTCTTTGAAGGGACTGTTTCTTCTGCTTCCAGGCTGAAGGGTATTGCTAAGGAAATGCCGAGGAACAGTAAGTATCATATATTGCTGAAATAAAAAAGCAATTGATTTCTGTGTGTTAGTCTTGCATCCTGAAACCTTGATATAATTGCTTTTTAGTTCCAGGAGGTTTGTCAATTTTTGTAATATTTTGTCTGGTTTTAGTACTGGAGTAATCCTGACCTCTGAATGAGTTAGCAAACTATTTTCTCTGTTCTATCTTCTGATGTCCATTCTCCCTCTGGTGCCTCCTTCTGATAGAACCTAGAAAGACACATCTGGCAAAGAGGAATGTAGGCTTCATTCTCAGTGAGAACAGAACAAAGAATTTAGAGTTAAAAAAAAGTAGTTTACCAAACTGGTATAGTTCACTCTTTTACTATTCTGCATCTATATACATGCCTCCACATATTTTCTGAACTTCCGTAAAGCAAAAGCTATGATTTTGCATAGAAAGGTGTCACAGCTATTCTCTGTTCTCTCTTCTCTCTGGATAGGCTGCACAAAGGTGAAAGTTGTATCTGTCTTGAGAGTCATGGTTTACATTTATGGATGATGTTGATGACTTTTCAAATTTTTCCCAGTCTCACCTGGAGATTTGTAATATGAAGTATAAAAAAGAGCAAACCAACAAAGCCTTACATAATATAATAAGAGGAAAAAGATAAAAATAATTAGCTAATGAGCTCATGCATATTAATAAAAATAAAGTCATGTATTTTGGGTAGCTATGGGAAATTGCTTCCAGGCCCCCCTGCAGATACCAAAGTTCATGGCTGTTAAAGTCCCTTACATAAAGTGGCAAAATATTTGCATACAACCCATGAAAATCTTTTTGTGTGGTTTAAATCCTCTATAGATTACTTGCAATACCTAATAAAATTTAAATGTCATATAAACAGACATTATACTCTATTGTTTAAGGAATAGTGACAAAAATGTTTATGCATGTTCAATGTAGATGCAAATGTTTCTGAATATTGATGATCTGCAGCTGTTTGAATCTGCTGATATGGAATCTTCAGAGAGGGTCAACTCAACTGTATAAATGCATGTATCAAGCAATGAATAAAAAGCATGCATAGATACTACCGTCCTCATTTCTGAAACTAATCTTAAGGTCATGGTCACCATTTGTAATCTTCATCTTTTTGTACCCATTCCACATTCCATTTGTCCTTAGCAGAATATGTTTCTTTACTGGTGGGCCTATCTAAATTTTTGTGTCTGAGGATATAAATCTCCAGGAAACTACATGTGTAGTTGCTATAGTGTTCTATTAACTTTTGTTATTGAACAGAAAGTTATGAGTATGTGCTCAGGGAATTCGGTCACTGTTAAGAAGCTACTCAGATAATCTTTGAAAGCCAACATTGATTGCCCCAGAACATACAAACCTTCTCTGAGTATGGGTTAGTATCATGAAGAATGCAAAGTGGCCAGGTGATAGTTTTAACGTCAACTTGAATTGAACTTTTGTTTCCTATGGATGCGTTCTTTAGGATCTAACTATCTCCAAGCTCAAGGTTTTCTTCTCGGTCATAAGGAATTCCCTTGAATTAAGTGAGAGACCATGAAGCAGGAGGAAATGTCAAAGAAGAACACTGAGGACTAATAAATATGTTGAGCATCTTATGCATCTCTTGAAAGCATATTTACTTGGTGATTAATTTCTTGTCCAAATTTAGGGCTTTGTTGTCATACAATACCTGATTCATGAACAGAAGTTCAGATTTCAAGGTCGTTATGGAGACCCCTTCAAGGGCATTCTATCTCCATAGGATCAAAAGCACTCTAGAACTTTTTCTTAAAAACAAGCAAACAATACCCAAAACACTGCCATCAAAAATAACAGAAGAAGAAGAAGGGGAAGAAGAGGTGAAGGCCGAGGAAGAAGAAATGTTGAAAAGAACATAGATCTGTTCCTAAACCCTATGAGTGTACACTGTGATCCTCTTTCCAGGACTTGCCAGAGACTCTATGTGGTCCTATGGTCATCTGTTTACCACAGACACTTAGGACCATTCTTGGCCTCCAACTCAAATTTCACAATTTTAGAGATGACTCAGTGAATGGAAATGGAAGCCAGGAGTCAGATCCATGAAAAAAAGAGCCATTGCCCACTTTCTACTAGCACTACCAAGGGCTGTGGCCAGGCTTTCTCCAGGAGTACTGAAGGAAGCGGGTGATGGAACGGAATGCTGCTGTGGGGTGATGGGCCACTGCTGGGATGAAACCCACAGAATCAAGAAGTAAATAGGAAGTGTCCCCCCGCCTCCCTCCAGCACGCCTACTGGTAGAATCTAACAGGAAACAAGCTAGAAAGGAGAGTTTCTTTGCAGAATGGTGAGCTCAGTCTTAAAAAAGTGAAGATGACACACAGAAGCCTAATAACTCACACAGGATGAAATAGGATAACCCACTTACTCTACGGCACAACATTTATAAAAGAATTTTGAACTGGCTTATTTTCATACCACAAAAATAGTGCATAGATAATTGAGAAAATGTTAGAAAAAAAATGAAATAAAAATTATTCAAACCTTTTATATTTTGTTGCTTCTACTGTCCTTGTCTCTCTCTCTCTCACACACACACACACACACACACAATGTGCACACACACCCCTTCATATTTGAAAAGAAATGGTGTCTTATTCTACACATAGCTTTTGTGACTGGTTTTGTACTTAACAATCTAATATACTGTTCACGTTTTGACTTATCATTAAATAATCCACAACAATGAGGTTAATGTCCACATAGGATTACAACCCATAGAAATACTAATGTTATTGATTATTCCTTAATTTTGGAAATTTTTAAATGTTTTAAGTAACTTTCATTAATAAGTGATACTATGATAAATGTCTTATTGGAAATTCTTTATGAACACTTGTTGATATGATAAATTTTGGGGAAATATCTTATGACATTTTTCTTGAATCTTCGAGATATTTACTATCTGTGTCCTTTAAAAAGGAGTATTTGCCACATAAAAAAGCAAGTTCTTGAATAATTGTTTAAATGCAAATAAATTCTCTCTCTTTCTCCTTCTCTGCCCGCCCCCACCCTGGTCTCATTGTGTTATGGTGTTAAGATGAGGACATTACTTGTATTCCTGTATATTCCTTCCTGGAGCAGAAATTATGACTAAAAATGTAGATGGGAAGAGATTTTTTTGAGTGTGGGTAGTGCTGAGAACAGCTGGGATGGAGACTGAAGGAAATGGCAAAGACATTTAACATAGATATAAATGGAATTGCTTAGCACAAAATCTTAGAGTTTCTTGTGTTAGGGGAATAAATTTAAATTGAATATATTTTTTCCTTACAGATAAAAAATGTTAAATCTTGAAACCATCTGGGTTCTTTCTGAAAGTTTGAAATTTGAATTTAGGTAAGTCAAAATGAAAAAGTCTAGGATGCTCTTGTGTTGCTAAGCAACATTGCTAATCTGAGATCCTATAATCCAATGCCATGAAAAATTTTTGTCCACAATAAATGTGCCCCCAAAGCAAGTGAGTCAGCATCAGCTATTTAAAGAGTTTGTAGGGAACTCATAAAAGTCTCCAGTGAAGGTGAAGTTATCATCAGGCTATTTTGACTGTTTTTTGCAATGCAAACTCTTATACCTTCACTCACTGATCCCCAAATCACATAGTCAAGGAGATAAAATGTATCCTGTTCCATGCTGTAAAAGTATTAAAAATAAAAGGAGAGCAACACCTCAATTTGCAAACTAGGGGTCCATACCTTCATGAACAGGACAGAAGTCCATGATTAGAGTCTATGAAATGGAAAGTTGATGTCTCATCTGGATCACCTTATCAGACTGAAGACTGAAGAGCAAGAACAGGATGAGAAAGCATGCCCATGCTCTTATTCCTGGAAATGTTCCATTTAAATTCAATTTTTTTTTTTTTTTTTTTTTTTGCTTTTGGTCCCAAAGAACTGGTTTGAAATGGAATTTATTGAAGATTTATTGAAGAACTTTCTACTCTCTATTTAATGAGTCTGGTCTAAGTGAAATTTCTGAGAATTATAAGAAAATGATTCAAAATAGTAACTGGACTTCTTCTCCAACTATGAAGATATATGTTTCTTTAAAAGCCAAAAATCTTTGACTTGATTTTCTATAGGGTTAAGAAGAAGGATTGATGGTGACAAATGACACAGCAGAAATTTCTCTTCTCAGATAAAGCACCTGGCAAGATTGAGAAGCTTAACATGGATAATGATATTTACATCTACACATTTTACTACCTTCCTGAGCTATTCTTAAATGAAGATATCAGAATCTGTCAAGAATTGGCCTGACAGTTGTGATAAGATTTAAACGAAGTAGGGAAGGTCTGTTAAGTACTATAATTAAATTAAGCATGAAAAATACTTTTGGATTTTAGAGTTTAAGAAGGTAGGATCCTCTAATTTTTATTGTTCTTATTTTTTGAGGAAATCTACAGTTGCCTTCTGTGTTTGTATGTTATTTGGGTTAGTTATTAAAATAATGATGTGTACATTGCTTACTTGTGTTAGGGCAATTTTGTTAACCTACTGTTAGTTGTTATTGTTATAGCAAGTTTTAGAAACAGTCTAAAATTCCAGTGATTCTTTAGTGGGACATTGAAGCATAAGTGGTATAATATTTGAATCATATAGAAACCATTTCAGTAGAGATATTATGGATTTACTGTTTACATTATTAAAAGGCTGAACCTTATTTAGTGCTAAATGGATTACTAAACTTAGAAATATAAGGGCTATGGCTTCTAGGTTATTTAGAAGACATGTTTACTATTTAAAATTTTTAATCCTTTCAAATAATTATTCCCTCTGTTTTTTTTTTTTTTTTTTCAGAGTAGAAATTAGAAGTTTATTAAAGGACAGCAGAAAAGACTTCTCCCGGAGGAAGAAGGGGACCCAAGAGGTGGAATCCTTCCCTCTGTTTTTGTAGAAGAATTTTGTTTTACTTTGTAATGATCAAAAATATCAAATGAGTCTAGAAAATTTGAAAACATCAGAAATATTTATGAAAAATAAAGGTTCTTTATGGCAAAAATGTAAATGGATATTTTCCTTCTGGTTTTTAACTCTATCATTATAAAATATCCTTCTTTTTCTCTAGTAACAATTTTTATATTCCTTATATTTAGACTGTATAATTATATATTCTTATAAAATATATATAAAGGGCTATATGTAAAATAATACCTCTAAAATACATATTATTATATATTAATAAAGTCTTGTATATATTCAATACTACATGTTATTTTTGAATAAGTAACTAACCTATTTATTTAATTTAAAGGAAATAGATTTATTTTCCTTCAATACTTCCTAATAGACATGCTTGTGATGACTAATATTTTTTTCTCATTCTAAATGGGTTCATCTAAAAAATGGACCTAAAGATAACTCTGAGTGATGAACTTTGTTCAAAAGCAGTTTTTAATTATAGTTATTAATATTTTTATTAAAATAATATTTTTGTTTCCTAACATAGTCAATAATATGGGCTCAATTCCAAACTTTGTCTTGATGAAATTTATACTTAATCGCCTCTTATTTTATTTTATTTTGGGATGTGTAATTAATAATCTGGTAGAAGTTTAAGAATGTATAATGGTTTATAAAATTATATATTTGAAGAAAAGTTATAATCTTTTAAAATGCAACAGTTACTCTTGGTTTGGAAAGTTTGTTTTGGCAACTATGCTTTAAAAATACTAAACCTACTAAATTCTTGACTACTTCAGGTAGCATCCAATATACACTGCATCAGAGGGAGAATAATTGAAAAACAACATTGAATAAGTGCAAAATATTGCTGTGATTCTCAAAAATTGTTTAAAATTTAACCTCAGTTAATTGATTGATGTTATCTAAGGGGAAATTGCAGTCTTTCTGAATTCCATGTTTTCCCAAATGTACTTCCTAATTACTAATACTAGACTTTATTCTTATTTGACTTATCTAGGTGTATAAATCTAGGACTTGAATAGATAAGTAAATAGAGAAATGATGCCTAGAATCATGTTAACCTATAATGAAATGTGTGTGCCATTAGAGTCTTTATCAATCACAAAATCAGTCACAGGCACACATGATGGATAAAAGCATTGATCTCGGACCCGACTGACTGGGTACAGATTCTGCCTTTGCCAGTTACAAGGTTTTCGATCTTAGAAAAGTTGCTAAACCTCTTTATGCTTTAATTTCTCATGTATGAAATGAGCATGATAAGAATACCTACTGCTGTAGGAATTAAATGAGTTAATATATTTAAAACACAAAAAGCAGTGTCCAGCACATGGTAGTGCTATGCTAATATAAACTATTCTTATTGCTATTAACTTAGAACCTTTCTGTGCATTTCGAGAACTTTAAAAGTGCCTTAAAATTCATTTTAAAAGCTCAAAATATAATGAGGGAAATTAATAATTACATTTAAGACACAATAGTGAGAAATATAAAGTATTAAATTAACATCAATCTTCTTTATGATGACATTTTTGTACATATTTCCTGTTTTCAATATGGTTATAACCATCAAAGCTTCTAGCTTAATATTAACAAATCTTCATTAATTCTGTGACTTTGGGAACATTAATTAAATGATCATTTGACTCAGTTTTCTCATTTGTAAAAGGGGTGTTAGTAATGGTACCTATTACAGCATTTGTGTGAATGTTAGCATTAGGACTAAATGTTCTAATAAGTGTGTAGACCTCAAAACAGAGCCTGGTGACAGTAATGCTCCCTGACATTAGCCATCATCATCATTATTATCCTCCTCATCATCACCATACCACTGTCTATATTTCACATTTCACATAAGTTACAGTCATCACAGTTTCCATACAGTAGTACAAAAGATTTACTGAATGCCTAAAATAAGTGAGATATTACAGAAAGAATATGTTATAATAAAAAAGCAGCTTCAAATAACATTCATAATATTTATTAAGTACCTTGTATTACCCAATGTATATAATCACAGACCTTAATTATACCTGGAGAAAGAGAGAGAGAGCATACATTAAAAAGTCATATATACAAAGCTGAGTGTGTGTGTAGAGAAAGAAAGAGAGAGAGTGAGGGAGAAAGGAGAGATCCTTTCATAAAGGAACATATGTCCAGTGGGAAAAATTTAATCAATTATTAAACTAATAACCAAGATGATAATTTCTGATACTGATATTGAAAAACTTGAAAGGAATATAATAAATAACTTAGATCATGGCACAGAAGTATACAGATAGGTTAGACAACTTCTTTCTGAGAAGGTGATGTTTGAAATGAGACCTACAGACTAGAAGAAAATATAAGTCATCCAATATATCAGAACTGCCAAAACTGAGCAAAAGAAATATATCATATAGGCATATAGTCAATATAATATAAAATGGTAGAACTCAGACAAGATGTATCAATCAAAGCAGTATATAAATGGATGTTTAACCTACTAATGACAAATATTTAGATTGATTCACAAAACAAAGACTCAACTCCTTATTGCATATAAAAAATACATCTTTTAAAAAATGATCCAAGCCAGGCACGGTGGTACACACCTGTAATCCCAGTGACGCTGGAGACTGAGGCAGGAGGATCACAAGTTCAAAGCCAGTCTCAGTAACTTAATAAGGCTATGAGCAACTTATCCAGACCCTGTCTCTAAAAAATACAAAGAGCTGGGGATATGGCTCAGGGGTTAAATGACTCCGGTTCAATTTCTAGTGCAGCCCCCGCTTCCCCCCCCAAAAGAAAATGATTCCGGAAATTTTAAATGAAAGGCTAGATAATATCTTTATAGGAAATTGGAGCAAAAAGTCATATTTTTAATAACATGTAAGGTATAATTTGACCTGACAAGCATTAAGAAGATTAAGAAGGGAACAGTATAAACCTAAAGGCCAAAATTCATGATGGACAGGAGTAGATACCAAAATAGTAATGAATACAAGCATACATGAAAGCATACACCCAAGTGGTCTTCTAATAGGTCACATAAAGCACCTCCTTATATTCTAAAAAATAAACATGAGGCAAACAATATTCCATGTACACAATTCAATTAATTAAAAAGCATCAACATCTTTTCAATTGGAAATAATAAAATTTGTTAGATAATTATTGAGTTACAGGGGAAATATGAACAAAACTACAAACTGCAAAAGAAAATAAGAATTAAGACATTGTATATATCAGAATATGTGAAATGCAGTTAAGCAATACTTACAGGAAAATTTCACTAACCCTGAGGAAATGATAATACCAACTGTATTTAAATAGTTTTAGAGCATAGAAAAGAAATTAAAGTTCTAAGATTGTTTTATAAAACAAGAATAACAAGTTTAAACTTAATGAATAAAAAGAAATGAACACTATAGAATAATATCATGAATACTGATGTAAAAATCTTAAATTATTAGCAAATAGAATCCTACAGTACACATTTAAAAGTAAAAGTAATGTATCACAATCAGATGAGGTTTCTTTCTTGGGATTCAAGCATGCTTCAATTTTAATTTAAATATTAATAAATCTAAGGGAATGACTCATATAATAATTTCTAAAGGCATTTGACAAAATTAAACATCCGTGCCTGACTAAATAGAGAGGCTTTCAGTTATATACATATGTGTGTATATGTATGTTATACATCATACCAAAAGTCAACATAACATTGTCTATATTATTTTATAGCACTCAAATGATTAACCTAAGATCCATCAAATGTAGCTATAGCTTCTTGTTTGCAAGTTGTTCTGGGCTGAATTGAGCCCCTTCAAAACTTATAGGCTAAGGTCTTAATTCCTAGTGTGACTGTATCCAGAGACAGAGCCTTTGAGAAGATACTGAGGTAAAATGAGATCATCTGGGCAGATGCCTAATTCCAACAGGAAGGCTATCCTTAGAAGAGGAGGAAGAGACACCAGGAGGGAATAGGCCCCAAGAGAAGAACACAGAAAGACATAGCAAGAAGACTGCCTATGAAGAGAGGCCTAACCAAAAATTAATCCTGCCGACACCTTGATCTTGGATTTCCACTCTTCCAAACTGTTTAAGTCATTTGATCTGAGATACCCTGTTATCGTAGTTATAGTAGACTAATATTACCCACAGAAATATAAGGACAAGATTAACAAGTTTCCAGGAGTGGTGATGTACCCCTGTAATCCCAGCAACTCAGGAGGCTGGGGCAGGAGGATCACGAGTTCAAAGCAGGACTCAGCAATTTAGCAAGGTCTCCAGCAACTTAAAGAGAGCCTATCTCAAAATAAAATATAAAAGAAAGGGATAGGGATATGGCTCAGTAGTTAAGCACCCCTAGGTTCAATCTCTAGTATCAAAAAAAAAAAAGACTAACAAATTAAATAGAATCACAAGAACCTAATAGACAAATCCAGAATATAGATATTTTACAGGAAGAGCCTCCAATTTCCTTTATCAGGCAATTGTAATAATAATAATAATACAGACAAAAAACAATGTGCAGTTCTCATTGTGGCCCTAATTAGGATCCTGGTTTAGGCAAGAGTGGTAGGGGTCATTCTGGAGACAACTGAGGAAGTTTGCCTATGAAATGAGTATTAGCTAACCTTAAGAATATTTTATTGATTTTGTCAGGTATGGAAAAAGTTGGTGTAGGAAAGTTTTATCTAAGTGAATACTGTGGTACTTGTATTTGGAATTTCATGTCATCTACTTTACTTTAAATATCTACATGCATAGAAATCAGGAAAGAATAAAAAGATTCCAGAACTTCTAAAGGGTTTTGAACTATTTGAGAATATACTTGTATTAGGAGAAAATGTTCACAAAATGTGGCCAGTTGTTTCCCTCCCACTATAGCTCTCTCTCCTTCAAGCTTGGCCCCTTCTGAGCTGGTTCCATGAAAGAAAAGGTCAGAAGACTTTATCAATCTACAATCAGCAGTGAGTTTTGAATTTTGGAACTGAAAAGGGAAATTATGTACTATCTAACTTCAGACCCCAGGAATGTCAAAAGAATCCCTTCACCCAAGTTGCTGTGAGATTAACCAACAGGAATCTTCAAGCTCTCTCTTCCCCCACGTTCCCCCTTCCCCTGTCACACCCAGAATGAGTTTCTGTACC